GAAGGCAGACAGAGACCAGCTTATGAAAGGTCTGGAGGCACTTTATTCTATGAGCAAGGAAAATTATGGAGCATTTCAGACACATACGAAATAGAATAGTATAATGAACCCTGCTTTATCCTTCATCCAGCGTCAGTAGTTATTAACTCATGGCCAGTCTTGTTTATTTTGTGTAACCCTTACTCTCCCTCGACCCCATATAAATTTTAGGCAAATTCCAGATGTCATATTATTTCATCCATAAATATTTCTGTATGTACTAATATAACCACAACAATATCACACCTAAAAGTTTTAACAGTAATTCCTTAATGCCATCCAAGTCCACTTGGTGTTCAAATTTCTAATTGTCTCGAATGTAATTTTTAGATTTTTATTTTACAGTTTACTTGAATCAGGATCTGGCAGAGATCCTCCTATTACCTGTCGGGTTTTAAGCAGGGGAATGAATGACATGATCGGACTTACATTTTGAAACTCTATCTGGCCTCACTGTGAAAAATGTATTGGTGTGGGGGTTGCTAGGAGACTGGAAGTGGAGAAACTAATTAGGAGGCTACTGTGTGTCCAGGAGGTGAGTGGTAATTATCTAGATTAGAGTGATGTGGTGGAGTTGGAGAAAAGTGGGTGAATGCGAGATGTAACCTGGGCAGGCCGAGCTTGTTTGTCATGGCTCAGCCAGACTTTTGGGTTCTGCTGGGTGTGTATGTTTGTTTATTTGAAAGTATTGTTCCCAGAGATTTCACTGATTCCAGTATCAACATTTTAAGTTTAGTGAAATCTTAACATTTTTACACAGGTTAAATTACAGCAACTTTATGGAATACTGAGATAGAGGAACATTAATCCGTACTTCTCTTGAATCTTATTCAACTTTAAATACAGCTTATTTGCCATTATATCATCTTGTTTATATGTGACTACAGTGATAATATTGATAACTTTATATAATAGAATAAGAAATTTATAGTTTTCCACTTAAACATGTTATAGTCTCATGTGTATTCTGCTAAAGAATATTCATAGTTTCATAATACTGTATTGAGCAGATTATGTTATAACCATTCATGTGTTGTTGGATGTTGATCTTACTTTTTAAATTATTTTATTTTAAAATTATTCTAAATAATGTTGCAGGAAGTTTTTTTTGCATCTGTACTTTTTCCATTTCTTTTTAAAAAATCTGGATTAAGTAATGACTTCTTTGTAGAGATCTTCCTAGAAAAATTTGCTGTCTTAACACACACTTAGAAACGACATCAATGAAACCTGAAGCCGTAATTGACGAAAACCAAGTACAGGCTTTTATTTTTTTAAAGAGTGTCTCTCTCTCTCTCTCTATTTATTTGGTTGCACTGGGTCTCTTAGTTACGGCAGGCAGGTTCCTTAGTTGTGGCACACGGGCTCCTTAGTTGTGGCATGCATGTGGGATCTAGTTCCCTGGGTAGGGATTGAACCTGGGCCCCCTGCATTGGGAGGGCAGAGTCCTAGCCGCTGCGCCACCAAGGAAGTCCCCAAGTACAGGTTTTGTACATTAAAAGTTGGAATTATGTTTATTCTTGGTTATTGGGCTCAGAATATGTATACTTTAAGTTTATAGACTTCCTTATTGAAGGAAGACCACATGCATATCTGGTCTTCAGTCTTTATCTTCTCCCATTCATATGGCAATTTGTAATAAAATGAGAGCAATCTCTGTCTTGTCATCAGCATGTTGGTTTTACAAAGATCCTTTTCTTTCAGTCAGCTCTGGGAACCAGGAAGCAGCTATAGTTGCCTCTAAAATGTTCCCCTGTGTCCTTATTTACTGATGAAAATAGCTTAAAATTAGGACTCATTTGATAATAGAGAACTCATAATACTGTATATCCTTTTGTCTTTTTTTTTTTTTTTTTTAAATTTTTGGCTGCACCGCATGGCATGCGGGTCCCCAACCAGGTATCGAACCTGAGTCCCCTGCAGTGGAAGAGTGGAGTCTTAACCACTGAACCGTCAGGGAGTCCCTTTTTGGTTTTTTTGAAATGCTGAAGTGGAACATTTTTATCATTGGCTCAGAATGGTCAGCTTCTTTTATATCTAATGAAGAAATGTCAGACAACCATTAATAATGTTTTTGTTATTTGGGTCCTTCTTTTAGAACAAACTAGGTTAAAGTAAACAGATGACACTAAACATTTTAAAGGATATGTTCAGAGAAGGGTAAGTTTTAAAGACTACGTTTTAGGTCATCGGTTCACTTATTCTGTTTTATTGCCTTTTAGTCACTGATTGTTTTCATACTTTGTCTTTAAGTCCTTGAAATAGTGTCACTTCAAGTATCCTCTTACTTCTGTCATATCTTTAGATTTCAGAAAAGCAATATCCAAATCGATCTTTTTCTTTAAAAAAATGTTCAACTGATTCTTTGGCTGTTGGTACCACAAAATATGTTTTTTTAATAAACTATTCTTTAAAGCCTTACTATTCAAATGGCTGTCTGAGTCTAGTGGCGTTGGTATCACTTGGGAGCTCATGAGACATGCAGGATCTCAGGCCCCATCTCAGACCTACTGGATATGAATTTGTATCTTAACATTATTCTTAGGCGATTCATACGCACATTAAAAAGCTAATAATGCCAGCCCCAGATTCCTGGTTGGATCCTCCTGTTCAAGGCATCTATGCCCTCAATTCTATCGCTTTGGGAACGTTGTTTCCTCTCACTGTCACCATCATCATCATTTACAACATAGCTTAGAGGCTAAGAACAGGAGTTCTGCATCCAGGAGGGCTGCATTAGAATCCCAGCCATGTTAACTTCCTAGCTGGGTGACCTAAGTTCCCTTATCTGTAAAGTGAGAAAAACAATAGTATATTGACAAATAGGGGAGGTGAGAGGATCAAATACAGGTAAAGAACAAAGTCTAGCGTACAGTTCTGGCTGCTTTCACTCTCCTTCCCCTTATCACAGACATTATTTTAGAGATCTGTTGCAGCATAACAAACCATCCCAGGACTTTGCAGCTTAAAATAATTATTTTATTATTCATATTTCATGATTTTGTGGGTCATGAATTTAGGCAAGGCACAACTGGGCAGTTCTGTTCTATGTGGCATCTACTGAGGTCACTTGATGACTTTCGAGTTTTTTAATTGTTATTTTAATTAAGTTGTATATTCTGGATGTAAATCTTTTCTCAGATATATGATTTGTAAATTTTTTTCCATTTTATGGGTTGTCTTTTCACTTTTTTATGTATCCTTTGAAGCACAAATATTTTTAATTTTTAGGAAGTCCAGTTTATCTTTTTTCTTTTGTTGCTGTCCTTTTGGTGTCATATAAGACTTTGCCTAAACCAGGGTCTCTTAGATTCACTCCTTTACTTTCTTGTAAGTATTCTATAGTTTTTGCTGTTAAATTTAGGTCTGTGTTCCGTTTGGACTGAATTTTTGTAGACAATGTAAGAAGGAGCACCATTTACTTTTTTAGTTGCTAATTTAATCACCTCTTTTAAATCCCTACGTTGCTTATCCTCTGTGGCTTGAGGAACTGTTGTTCACTCACTCGCCATTAAAACTCTCTGCCTGTGGGTTCTGAGACTATTTCTCATCTTGTGTCTTTATCCTTTCCTTCTTGTTCTTAATTCATTCAAGACTTTTTAGTTACATACCAGCTATATGGCAAAATCGGTTCTGGGTGCTGGTTCTGCTCCCTCTTCTCAACTTACATGCTTCTGCTGGCCAGTTTCCTCTCCTCTCCTGGCCCCACCTCTGTGCTGATGACTTCCACATCAGCACCTCCGCCTTCCTCAGTGAGTCTGTCTCCACTTCTGGACTGTGAGTCCAGCTTCCTCAAAGTGAGGACTACATCTGATTTAATTGTGTGCCCCAGCACAGTGACTGGACATAAAAGATGCTCAGTAAACATTGCATATATATATTGTTAAAGCTGTCATTCAGTGGGTTATAAAAGCAGATTGAACTATTTGCATGATTAGTAAAGGTGCTATTTAGAGATTTATAGTTAAAAGATGAATATAATTTAGTGTGTTCAAACAGCATTTCAAATAAAAGATTGGGATTAAAAAGAGTGTAAAGTGGGACTTCCCTGGTGGTCCAGTGGTTAAGACTCTGAGCTCCCCAGGCAGGGGGCCTGGGTTCAATCCCTGGTCAGGGAACTGGATCCTGCATGCTGCAACTAAAAGATCCCCCATGCCGCAACTAAAAGATTCCCCCATGCTGTAACTAAAGATCCCGGACGCCGCAACAAAGATGCCGCATGTTGCAACCAAGACCTGGTGCAGCCAAATAAATAAATAAGTTTTTTTTAAAAGAAAAAGACTGTAAAGTAAGTAACCATATTAGCAGACGTTTAAATTTGAGCCATTTGGGCATCTTTTCAGGTTATTCACAAACTCAAGGACGTGCTAACATTTTCAGAGCCTCTACTGTTATTGTTCTTTGAACCAAGAAGGTGGTGTTGATGAAGAGCATTTCCCATTTGCATGAATACAGATGTGTGAGCGGCTTCTCTCCTTTGACCTGTGGCAAATCCTTTGCAGAGTTGCCACCAGTACTTTTTGGGGACAATATCATGAATCAGATTTCTCCAGAAATGAACTGTGCTGCTTTTAGAAGATCCTGTCTGTTTGGGGCAATATGTTGGCTTGAAACTATCTTGTGGTCAAAATTTTCATATCTAATTATATTTTTTCAGTTTGTCAGAGGATATACTAGGTTTGTTAGATTGTTTTCCTGTTGTCTGCTGAAGAACAGTGGCAAGGACAAAAACTGCCCTTGGTTGGTGGAAAGGTGGGCGATGGCTGATCAGCCACGTGCCTCAGAAGCCACAAAGAAGCATCACACGTCATGGCTCTGACTGGTCGGTCAGTCAGGGCATCCTCATGCTGGAGATTGTATTTATCAGGCTGATGTTCTCATTATGAAATGCTACTGGACATTGATTCAAAAACAATACTGTCTTTTGTTTTGATTCTGTAGGAACCTAGAAAGATCGTGCAATGAATGGTGATACTCGGGCTGCAGTGGTGACCTCACCACCCCCGACCACAGCCCCTCACAAAGAGAGGTATTTCGACAGAGTGGATGAGAACAATCCAGAATACTTGCGAGAGAGGAACATGGCACCAGACCTTCGCCAGGACTTCAATATGATGGAGCAAAAAAAGAGGGTGTCCATGATTCTGCAGAGTCCCGTAAGAGAAGCTTTGTCTCTGACCAAGTGTCCTCTTCCTCCTTCCACCGCTTCAGCTCTTGTGCTCTTGTATGTGTCATAGTCCGTCTACCTTGACACAGGAAATCAGTGCCTTGTATACATGTATGGCTGTTGAAGAGTTCAGTTTAGTTCAAGTTAGCAGACACGCAAATGAAAAATCTCCAGTATCATAAAGGATAGGAGGTGCTCATTTCTCCTTTTCACTCTCTCACTGCTTCGCCAGAGAGTCTTTATATATTATGACCATTTAAAAATTACTCTTTCCTCCAAAACACCTAGCTTGGTGCTGGGCATTTAGTAGGTCTCAGCAACACCTGATTGTTGATTGATTTTACCTTTAGTTCTGGTCGGCATTTGAACCACAGTCACGCCCAACTGTCTTCTGTTTGCATCTTTAGGTAAAGTAGTGCTGTTTTCATAGTTTTTTCATGTTGATGCTGCTGCCTTTATGTGTGCTTCATTCTTTTTATCCTTTTAATCTGTTCTTGTTTTATTTCCTTAATATTTTTGGGTGTCACTTGGCAGATAATTCATTTGAGTTATTTTTTTAAATGTTGATCATCTCTGTCTGCAAGGAACTGGGTACTCATCGTACCCAGTTTGTTTGTTTGGTTGTTATTATTATTCATATATTATTCCTCAATAATATAACTTAGAGTAAAGTACACAAGTCTTAAGTATATAGCTTGATGGATTGTGACATGTGTAGCACCTGTGTAAATGCCCAGATCAAGTCTCAGACTTTACATTGTAGTCGAAGGAGCTAACCAGGGAGCACCAAATAGAAGCCCCGTGCAGGAAGCAGCTGCATGATTAGATTGGGTGTCACGGGGTAGAACAAACCTCTGAGTGAGGAACATTTGACCTGAACTCCGAATGACAGGAAGGAGCCGGCCATGCAGGGATGGGGGAGAAGCAGACGTGAAATTCCCAGGACAGGAGTGAGCTTGAAGAGTCCAAGGGCAGCCAGTGTGGTCTGGGCACAGGAAGCGGGAGTGCGGGCTGCGTGAGGTTGGAGAGGGAGGAAGGGGCAGTTGCCTCAGAGGCTGTGTCAGCCCAGCTCAGGGTACGGTGCAGACGGGAGCGGCACGCTTCAGTCTTTGAGTAACTCATTCTGGGTTGGTATACAGAGAGCACCGTAGAGGGCAAGAGAGTAAGCTGTCTTCCAAGCAAGAGGTAGTGGTAGCTTGGGCCAGAGTGCTGGTGGTAGAGGTGGAGAGAGGTAAACTCATTTGTGTTCTGTTTTGAAGGTGGAATAAATAGGACTTGCTGATGGATGGGGAGGAAGAGGTGAGGGAAAAAAAGAATCAGGATAACGTCTAGACTTGGCTTGAGCAGTTTTCCTGTGTAAAAGCAACGAGAAACCAAGTGAAAGTCACCAAGGATAGGGTGAAGAAGCTAAACTTTCAGTACCGGGCACGTGCCAGGCGCTGTGCTGGGGGCCCTGGGGACGCCAAGTCCCTACCCACAGGGGTCAGGAACACAGTCAGCATCAAAATGTTACTGACCCACATGCACTGTGGGGCCTGGGAACAGGGAAAGAACCCTAGAGGAAAGACTGGTAAGGCCTGGGCTTTACTGAGTAGAATGTACCCGGTGGTGGTTTTTTGGTTTTAGGAGTGTGGACCGTTCAACTGCAGTAAGGAGTGGGAAGGCCCACCCTGTGTGTACAGATGCTGACAGTTGGGAGATGTGAGAGGGAACCTGTGGAAGTTTCCTTCAGACTGATTCTCTGTTCTCAGTGGAATAGCAAGTGGAGGCATCTGCTTAGAATGGGCACGGGGAGTGGTGTAGAGAAGGCATGTAGAGTAGGCGAGAGAATGGGCAAGAAAAGTCAAGAATGATCCCTGGGTTAATGTCAAGGGTGCACTCAGGTCAGTGGTCATGGATTTACAGTGAGACAGTGCGGTACGGTCTTCGTTTTTGCCCCCCAGCCACTTTCAACAGCGTGAATAGAAAGGGTGTAAAGAGTTGAACTTAACCTGGGGTTGGGATTTTGCCAGATGAAATGGTAGAGAGTTGAAGTTGTGAGCAAGGGAATGGCTATAGTTTTAAACCAAGGGCCTAAGCTGAGTGAGAGAGGTCAGGACACAGGGAAGGTACGGGATGGTGATAAGGTCTTAGGATCAAGACGGGGTTGAAGAGAGGGTGAGCTGGACACTAGGAGAGGGTGTTTGGAGAGCACGTGCTTGGCTCCGAGACTGCAGAGGGGCCCAGTTACTAGAAATGAGCAGGTCTCTAGGGCATGACCATGGAAATAGGAGGCCGGGGTGAATTGGATGACATGGTCGTTGGAGGAGAGGCGATCAGGGAGCTGAGAGGGGAGGGTGTGGATATTTAACCATCAGGAGTTAGGACCAAGCAAGCAGGCAAGGTCATTGGCTGGTGACTGCTGGTTGAGGAAAGAGTCTGGGGTCCAGATGGGTGGCTCCAGGCCTCACTCACTGGTAGTTGCTAAGCGCAGCTCCATACTGTACATATAGGTCATCTGGAATGCTGTTGATACAGAGGGTCCTTTGTACTGTGGATTTTTTCTTTTTGTGTTTTCCTTACTAAGTTTTAAGTTCCTGATGGCAAAGCCATTTTCTTCCTATGTGTCCTCAGTGCCTAGAACAGTGTCAGGTGTTGTAAGGTGACTCAGGGTATTTAATCAGTCCCCTACTGTTTACAATGTAGACTGTTACCTGTTTTCCCTTTTATTGGTAATAATGCTGGAATGAGCATCCTTATGAATAAGTCTTTGAGCACATCTGTGATTAGTTCCTTAGAAAAGATTCCTAGGAATAGGATGCCTGTTCAAATTTTTAAGCTTTTATCTTGTTAAATTACTGTCCAGAAAGAATGTACTTATTTATGCTCCAGGTAGTGATATATGAGAATATCCATTTGCCTTTCCAGCACTGGATGTAAACAAACAGAAAATTAGTCTATGCGATAGTTACCCCTGCCTTCCCAAGGAACAGAAAAGAAACGATATCTCATTGTCTTAATTTGCCTTTTATTAGGCTTTCTGTGAAGAATTGGAATCCATGATACAGGAACAATTTAAGAAGGGGAAGAATCCCACAGGCCTATTGGCATTACAGCAGATTGCAGATTTTATGACCACAAATGTACCGAATGTCTACCCGGCAGCTCCGCAAGGAGGGATGGCTGCCTTAAACATGAGTGAGTAGTCCCTGACTTGGTATACATTCTCTGTCATTTTCCGGGTAAAATTTCCTAATATTTTCCAATGTGAAATAGATGAGCACACACTATGTAATACATAGAATTGAGGTTTTTTTAAAAATTGAGTTTTAGTTGTAGTAAAAGATAGGCCTAAAAATGTCTTGACTATAGAGGGCTCCTTTTTTATGAGCCAGTGAGACTGTTATTTCTCAGGCAGGTAACTTTTTATGTGGCTTTTCAGACCCTTTATGAATTAAAAAAAAAACTAATCAGAAATAATGCTTGGGGAGTAGCACATTGATTTTGATTTTGCCTGAACTTATTTCAGTCAAGCCAACATTTCTTTTTAAAAAAAAAATAAATTTATTTATTTCATTTTATTTTTTTAATTTTTGGCTGTGTTGGGTCTTCGTTGCTGCACGTGGGCTTTCTCTAGTTGTGGCGAGCAGGGGCTACTCTTGGTTGCGGTGCGTGGGCTTATCATTGCAGTGGTTTCTCTTGTTGCGGAGCACGGGCTCTAGGCGCACGGGCTTCAGTAGTTGTGGCTCACGGTCTCTAGAGTGCAGGCTCAGTAGTTGTGGTGCATGGGCTTAGTTGCTCCACGGCATGTGGGATCTTCCTGGACCAGGGCTCAAACCCGTGTCCCCTGAATTGGCAGGCGGATTTGTAACCACTGCGCCACCAGGGAAGCCCCAAGCCAACATTTCTTATCCACCATTCCTCACTGCTGTTCGCAAATGAATGAGAAACAGAAAAATTCCAAAAGAAAGCTAGAAGAAAAATGTTGGATGGGTGAATGTGAGCAAAGTTAGTTAGCAAAGTTAGTTGTGCAGAGATGGCGCTTTGCCATGGCTGTTGAATTTGTAAACGTTAACATGACAAGGTGGAGCCCAGGGTACCTTGAGCATCAGCTAATGTGACCTGCTGTGTACTGTGCCCTGGATCAATCTCTGATGTTTCTAGTTGGATAATCAGCTTCTGACTGACCAACTTAAGGTATTGGTTTGCGTTAGATCGCCTGCCGTGTGCTATTTACCTGTCTGTTCTCTGGTATTCTTAGAAGTTGATTGACATTCACCTGAGTGATAATATCATTAATGTCCAGAGAGTGTTAAAAATCACATGTAATTTACTAGCTCACACTTCCATCCTGAAGTCGAATGGTAGTCACTAGGTTTTCATGTTTCACATGGATTCTTTTTTATTTATTTATTTATTTATTTAATTTTATTTTTGGCTGCGTTGGCTCTTTGTTGCTGCACGCGGGCTTTCTCTAGTTGCGGCAAGCGGGGGCTACTCTCTGTTGCAGTGCACAGGCTTCTCATTGCGGTGGCTTCTCTTGTTGCAGAGCACAGGCTCTAGGTGCATGGGCTTCAGTAGTTGTGTTGCGCGGGTTCAGTAGTTGTGGCCCGCAGGCTCTAGAGCGCAGGCTCAGTAGTTGTGGTGCATGGCTTAGTAGCTCCATGGCATGGGGGATCTTCCTGGACCAGGGGTCAAACCTGTGTCCCCTGCATTGGCAGGCGGATTCTTAACCACTGCACCACCAGGGAAGTCCTCACATGGATTCTTAATGGATTCTAGTGATATTTATATGAATTAGATAATAAAGGACTATGTAATATATTTACTCACATATTGTGTTCTAGTCAGAGATAAAGGAAATTTTAATAGTGCCACACCAGAAAAAGAAGGAAGAAAAAAATCTAGTTTTAATTGTATCTAATAGTTTACTTCTTAAATATAAAAAAAATTTAATGTGAATTTTAACCTTTGTTGTGGAATATAACTGTGTAGATGGCATAGAAGAAAATGATATATAACTTATGAATGGTTTAAGGTGAACGCCTTTATAACCAGCACCCTGGTTAAGAAATAAAGTTTTTTCAGTTGCTTGCCCTCTTAAAAGGAATCACCATCTTGACTTGAATGGTATCACTGCCTTGCTTTTCTTTATAGTTTTATCACCCAAATGGTTATACTTAAATATTATGGTTTAGTATTTTGTCTTTTTTTACTTACTGTCTCTTAAGCATCTTTAGAGCTACAACTTGCCCCTCCATCTCTCTTTTTCTCCTCGCACTTTAAAGAAAATGGGTTTTGTTGACCTGTAGAGTTTGCTACAGTCTTGAATTTTGCTGATGCCATCTCCATGGTGCCCATATGTTCTTTTTTCTTTTGTATTTACAGTAAATTGGTAGCTGGGTCTAGAAGCTTGGCTGTATTTGGATTTTGTTCTTTGGCAAGCTCACTTCATAGGTGGCACTGTGTTCTACCCACAGGCACATAAGCCTGCTTGTTGCCATTTGTGCTGTAGCAGCCATCATTGCTCAATGCCTAGATCCGTTAATTTAACAAAGGTTCCAAGATGGTGATATTTTAATTGTGTCATTCCTTCTTCTGTATTTCCTAGTTAGAATATTTCTGTAAAGAGAAACTTCTCTGGGAAATGGGGCATGGCCAAAAAGGGGGCCACCTCATTCTCTGTCACTCAACACATGATTGCAGGGAGGCTGGTGCTAAACCATTCATAGATGACCTGCTTTTTGGTCAGGGTTTCATATGGAGCAGAGCAGCTTCCTTGCTGAGATCTATTGGAAGTCAGTCCTCAACCCACACGCACAAAAAGAAACTTCCTCTCAGCTCTTTTGCTTACCCCGTGGTACGGTTTGTATAAAGGTAACCATTCAAAATGAGAAGTTGGTTTCCTGTCATCTTCTAAAGTGACCAATTACTATTTCTTTAATATTATTTTGAATGCATAGATTTTTAAAAAAATTTATCTGGTTGTGTCGGGTCTTAGTTGTGGCAGGCAGGCTCCTTAGTTACAGCTCACAGGCTCCGTAGTTGAGGCACAAGGGCTCCTGTGGCTCGCTGGCTCCTTAGTTGCGGCACATGGGCTCCATAGTTGTGGCATGCAGGCTCATTAATTGCAGCTTGTGGGCTCCTTAGTTACGGCTCGCTGGCTTCCTTAGTTTTGTGGCATGAGAACTCTTAGTTGCAGCATGCATGTGGGATCTAGTTCCCGGACCAGGGATCAAACCCGGGCCCCCTGCATTGGGAGCACAAAGTCTTAACCACTGCGCCACCAGGGAAGTCCCTGCAGAGATTTAAATATATTTAATGTGTTACAAAACATTGCAGTTATCCTTTTTCTTTTGCTGTACGCGGGCCTCTTACCGCTGTGGCCTCTCCCGCTGCGGAGCACAGGCTCCGGACACGCAGGCTCAGCGGCCATGGCTCACGGGCCCAGCCGCTCCGTGGCATGTGGGATCCTCCTGGACCGGGGCACGAACCTGTTTCCCCTGCATCGGCAGGCGGGCTCTCAACCACCGCCACCAGGGAAGCCCTGCAGTTATCCTTCTTGATACTACTCACATTGTCCCACCTTTGACTAAAGAGAACCTCTCCAAGTTGACTCCTGAGCCTAGTAGTCTTTGACAGCTTCCAGGCCACCTCTTGTAGGAGATGTTCTAGGCTCATCTTGTGCATTTCCTGCCCCAGATCTGGAGTCAGCCATTCCTCTAAGAAACCTTGATTTCTTTTTCTGAGAAATGAAATTTTAGTCTGGGTGCTAGAAATGCTCTTTGCTACTGACTGGTTAGTTATTCTTTTTAGGCCTTTTTAGTGGATAGAGCTAGGAAATATAAATTACCTTTTGGAGATTTCCTAAGAATCCGCCTGCCAATGCAGGGGACACAGGTTCGAGCCCTGGTCTGGGAAGATTCCATATGCCGCAGAGCAGCTAAGCCTGTGCACCACAATTACTGAGCCTGCGCTCTAGAGCCCGCGAGCCACGACTACTGAAGCCTGCACAGCTAGAGCCCGTGCTCCGCAACAAGAGAAGCCACCGCAGTGAGAAGCCCGCGCACTGCAACAAAGAGTAGCCCCTGCTCACTGCAACTAGAGAAAGCCTGCGCACAGCAACGAAGACCCAATGCAGCCAAAAATAAACAAATAAATAAACAAATAAATAAATAAAATTTATTTTTAAAAATTACCTTGTGATTTGTATACTATATTGATAAATTGGAATTGTAAGTATAATTATAAATATATTGGAATTATAATTCCAATTAAAATTCAAGTCTAAGGGGTTTTTACTTAACCTCTTCTATCTAACGTTTGTTTTTCTTTCTTCCACAATAAGAATTCTGGTTCTCCAGGACACCAGGAATAACAAAACTAGAATATTACTTAATAACTCATTTTCTTTCTCTCACATACACACACAGTATCAATCCTATACCAATAATATGTTCTCTCTTCATGTTTTAAAGTAGTTATATTCTCTGTTGTCAAAGCATATAACCATTATATGTTATGGTCTTGTTTTTACGTTCATTTTGTGTTACAGTTAATAACTTAATTCTGTAATAAATATATATTTAATGCTCACCACCAGTCCTTGTATCAGTGCCCCTTTAGTCAGTTCGGTTGTCTGAAGTTCCTTTTATAAAGTAGATTTCCCAGAAAACACTTGTAGAAAGGATTTCTGCATTCTTGTGTTGTGGCCTTTATATGTCAATGTTAATTTGGTTTAGTTAGTTTGGGTATAAAATCATTGGCTCACATTTTCCTCTTTTGTGTATCTTAAATGCATAATTCATTTTCTTAGAATTTGAAGACAATCTTTCCATATAAATTACTTGGTTTCTTTTCCTTGATGCTCATAATCTATTTTCCGTTTTCTTTAGAGTCCAGAAATTTTACCAGAATATGTCTTGCTGTTTGTCTTTCTGGGCAGTTTTCTCAGATGATGTGCCCATCCAAACTTTTTTATTTTCAGAGTGTTTTCTTGAACTCGTTTTTAATATTCATTCTGTTCCCTTGCTTTTGTTTCCTGGTATGCGCATGTTGGATTTTCCTTGTCTGACTTCTTTAACTGTCACATTTTCTCAAGTCCTTTTTATCACTTTCTTCATTTCTTTATGATTTAAAAAGTTTTTCTCCTCTTTCACCTTTACGCTGTTTTTAGTATTTATTTTTAAAATTATTTTTCATTTATATCTAATTCCTTTTATTCCAGCCCTCATTTCTGAATTTTTCTAATTATATTAAAAATTTTTCATATCTTTTATTATTAATGCCTTTCTTTATCTTTTATGAAATAATAGCTTATAGTTTTCATTTGTTTTGTGGATATGTCTTGTGTGCTTTTGTTATGTGTAGGAATGTGATTTTGCTCTTTTTTCTTTTAATAATTTATTTTTAAAATTTATTTAATTAATTAATTTATTTTTGGCTGCATGGGGTCTTCATTGCTGCCTGCAGGCTTTCTCTAGTTCTGGAGAGTGGAGGCTACTGTTTGTTGTGGTGTGTGGGCTTCTCATTGCCGTGGCTTCTCTTTTTTTTTTTTCCTGTACACGGGCCTCTCACTGTCGTGGCCTCTCCCGTTGTGGAGCACAGGCTCCGGACGCGCAGGCTCAGCGGCCATGGCTCACGGGCCCAGCCGCTCCGCGGCACGTGGGATCTTCCCGGACCGGGGCACGAACCCGCGTCCCCTGCATCGGCAGGCGGACTCTCAACCACTGCGCCACCAGGGAAGCCCCCGTGGCTTCTCTTGTTGCGGAGCACGGGCTCTAGGAGCATGGGCTTCAGTAGTTGCGGCGCGTGGGCCCAGTAGTTGTGGCTTGTGGGCTCTAGAGCGTAGGCTCAGTAGTTGTGGCACATGGGCTTAGTTGCTCCACAGAATGTGGGATCTTCCCAGACTAGGGCTTGGACCTGTGTCCCCTGCATCGGCAGGCAGATTCTTAACCACTGCACCACCACGGAAGCCCTCTTTGAATAATTTTTGTGTGGTATTTGATCATGATATTTTTCTGTTCATTTTTACATGAAATTAGTTTTCCTGGAGGAGTCCAGTTCAGGAATCCTGACTCTAGAGCTCCCTCTTCTGTTGTTTTTGTGAAGTGCTAAAAAATACGGCAGCTCATTTAATTCTCCTCCCTTGCTTCTCTCTGGGTCTTTTTTCTTCTTTTCTTTTCTCTCGTTCCCAGCCCCATCTTCCCCTCCCCTCCCCTCCCCTCTTTCTTTTGTTTTGTAATAAATTTATTTACTTTTTTATTTAGTTATTATTTTTGGCTGCGTTGGGTCTTGGTTGCTGCATGCAGGTTTTCTCTAGTTGTGGTGAGCGGGGGCTACTCTTCGTTGTGGTGCGTGGGCTTCTCATTATGGTGGCTTCTCTTGTTGTGGAGCACAGGCTCTAGACACGGAGGCTTCAGTAGTTGTGGCACGTGGGCTCAGTAGTTGTGGCTCGTGGGCTCTAGAGGGCAGGCTCAGTGGTGGTGCACGGGCTTAGTTGCTCCGCTGCATGTGGGATCTTCCCAGACCAGGGCTTGAACCTGTGTCCCCTGCATTGGCAGGTGGATTCTTAACCACTGCTCCACCAGTGAAGCCCCATAACGTATATGTTTAATACCGTAAATTTCCTTCTAAGTTTTGCTTTACTGCATCCTACAAATTTTATTACCTTTCTGTTATTGATTTCTACCTTAATTGTATTAATGTTGGGGAACTTGGTCTTTATGAAATAGTCTTTGACGTTTTCAAGACTTACCTTATGGCCCATTGTGGGACGATTAATATCTCAACTGTTATTTGATTTACATTTGACAAGAAATATTAAATCTTTGAGTCTTGTTTCATTTTTCATTTCAGGTCTTGGTATGGTGACTCCTGTGAATGACCTTAGAGGATCTGATTCTATTGCCTATGACAAAGGGGAGAAGTTATTGCGGTGTAAACTGGCAGCGTTTTACCGACTAGCAGATCTCTTTGGATGGTCTCAGCTTATCTACAATCACATCACAGTGAGTATTAAATGGGGTAGTAACTGAATGATAAGTGGAATATCATGTGTCTGGCACCACCTGTTTTCATTTAGGGGGAGAGGGAATCTGGCTGAGCTGAAGTAAATCTTGGAACACCTTCCTTCTGATTGCTGACTGCAGAGTATAATAATCTGAGAATTAGCCAGTTTGAATTAAAAATTATGAGAACGGTAGTTCTTTAAAACTCCTTTCTTGCTTGCTGACCTAATAAATGAATGTTTACCAAGTTGTAGGCAGTTCCTAAAGTTCTTTTTATGCCTAAAAAATCAAGAATGAAGATGTTTTCTTTCCTACTTGGACCAAAGCCTTCTATCTCTCATATTTATTTCTTCAGATATTCCAGTTTTAGCCGTTTTTCAACATTATCAGGACCTCTAGTTTCTTCAATTCATTCTTTTTTTTTAAAAAATAAATTTGTTTTTGGCTGCATTGGGTCTTCATTGCTGCGCTCAGGGTTTCTCTAGTTGTGGCGAGTAGGGGCTACTCTTGGTTGCAGTCTGCATGCTTCTCATTGCGGTGGCTTCTCTTGTTGAGGAGCACAGGCTCTAGGGCACGTGGGCTTCAGTAGTTGTGGCACACAGGCTCAGTAGTTGTGGCTCAAGGGCTCTAGAGTGCAGGCTCAGTAGTTGTGGCGCACGGGCTTAGTTGCTTCTCAGCCTGTGCCATCTTCCCGGACCAGGGCTCAAACCCGTGTCCCCTGCATTGGCAGGAGGATTCTTAACCACTGCGCTGCCAGGGAAGCCCCTTATTGGATATTTTAAATTATTAATACAGTGTGTGCTTATTGTGGCAAGCATCCCTTACACAGACGTTGAAAGAAGAAAGCATAATCCTGTGAATACTCTTATCCCCTTGAGATAACCAGCATTAACAGACGTTTAAATCGTTTTACCCTTTTCTCCATACTCAACACACTCAGTACACACACAATACTTAATACACATGTGTAGGTGTTTTTTACTTGTGGACTCATAACCAGCAGTGCTTAGTTCAGCTCCATTCTTTTTTTTTTTTTTAAGTATTTATTTATTTGTTTTGGCTGTGAAAGGATCTTAGTTGCTGGATGTGGGCTTCTTAGTTGTGGCAGGCATGCTCTTAGTTGTGGCATGCAAACTCTTAGTTGTGGCATGCATGCAGGATCTAGTTCCCTGACCAGGGATTGAACACGGGTCCCCTGCACTGGGCGCACGGAGTCTTACCCAGTGGACCACCAGGGAGGTTCCCAGCTCCATTCTTGACTCCAAGGAATGCTCTTTGATGGTAGTCTGAAGCCCACCTTTGTGACCAGTGCACTGTGCTTCTGGGACATGGTAGGGATCTTTGCCAGATGTACCGAGTTACCCTCCCCTCTGTTCTCCACATTGCCGCTAAAGTGAACCTTTCAAAATGCAGACCTGACCCTGTTGTATCCATGCTGTCATGCTTGTGGAATGTTACTTCCACCCTAGCACGCCTGCTTTATTTCCCCCACAGCAGTTACCATCATCCATACTGTACGTTTGTCTGTCGTCCACATCAGCTCCATGAAAGGAGCCTCCGGCCGTGTCCTGCGAAGAATTCCTGTGCTGGGCACAGAGGAGGCACATACTGAACTCTTGGCTGAATGATGGAGTGAAGCATCCAGTTGAACTGAAATTCTGCCTTAGTAAAATTATCAAATGAGACTCTGTGGTGCCTTTTGATATTTGGTCAGTGGATCCAGTTAGCCTCCCACAAGAGCTGGCTCTCTTCCTTGTGCCTGCGTGGAAATTGCTGGCCTCTGTGGCTAATTATACTTGGCAGAACGTCTGTGTAGAGATTTTTTTTTTTTAATAAATTTATTTATTTATTTTTGGCTGTGTTGGGTCTTCGTTTCTGTGCGAGGGCTTTCTCTAGTTGCGGCGAGTGGGGGCCACTCTTCATCGCGGTGCGCGGGCCTCTCAATATCTCGGCCTCTCTTGTTGCGGAGCAGAGGCTCCAGATGCGCAGGCTCAGTAGTTGTGGCTCATGGGCCCAGTTGCTCCACGGCATGTGGGATCTTCCCAGACCAGGGCTCGAACCCGTGTCCCATGTATTGGCAGGCAGATTCTCAACCACTGCGCCACCAGGGAAGCCCCTGTGTAGAGATTTAATGCTAAATGGTTGCCTAAAAATTAGTTCCATGAAAATGTTACATTGCTAAGAGGAAATGTAATCCTTGGCTTAATGCCAGCCTTACATTCTCTGGGGATTTTAAAAGCTGTTTACTACTAGTCCTATTATGAATGCTATTTAAATAAGTTTGAATTGCTTAAATTGCTCGTTTTTTCCCCCTTTAATTATTTAGGACTTAGCAGAATTAAAACATTAGTTAGGGGCTTCCCTGGTGGCGCAGTGGTTGAGAGTCCGCCTGCCGATGCAGGGGACACGGGTTCGTGCCTCAGTTCGGGAAGATCCCACATGCCGCAGAGCGGCTGGGCCCGTGAGCCGTGGCCGCTGAGCCTGTGCGTCCGGAGCCTGTGCTCCGCAACGGGGGAGGTCACAACAGTGAGAGGCCCGTGTTCTGCAAAAACAAAATAAAAAAAACATTAGTTGGGTGTTTACTTTTCTGTAAGTGATCTGTTTGGGACTTAACACTGAGTAAAAAAGGAAATTCAAGTTACAAAATACATTTCTTATATCTTGTGAACTAGAGAATCTTTGAGGAAGAAAGTTTTTGTTTTTGTTTAACTACTTATAGCATCCATGTTTTGGTTTCACAGTCTAGGCGTTATCATATATAGATTTAACAGAAAAGAAATATTAACAGTATCAGCGCAGCCAAAAAGTGCCAACAGGTCATCGTGCCCTTTCTTTGAAGGAGGGCAATAGGGATTTTCTGCTAAAGGGATTTAAAAGTGCTAACAGGTGTTAGAGGATTGGAGATGATTGTCTGAATTACATCTCTCTCTGTCTTAAGATTGCACTGGATTTAGAGAAGCTTGTGAGTGGGGGTGTCAAAAGACAGGATAGCCCAGTTGGCACATGAGCTGGGCTTCCTCTCTTGGTGGCACGTAGCCGATGGCAGGGTCTTTCCGTCCCTAAATGCCTCTGGGTGTCAGTGGAATGCTAGGTTCACCTCCATTCTGGATTCCAAGGAATGCTAACCCTCCAAGGTGGTGGGCTCCACAGGTGGCAGCGGGTCCACAGTGACTGTGTTCTGAGGACATGATAGGGATCTCTGCCAGAGATAGTGAGTCGGGTGTATTGTGTTTTCGGTGAATGACGTTAGCGCTCATTCCTTGTGCACAGAGAAGGGGCATTAGATGTGGGAAGACTCGCAGTTAGACCAGTGCTAGGCCATCAGGGACTAGAAAACTTACTTTGAAATGTCCTCTCTTTTTCCAGTCTACATCAGTATTTAGCACTTTCTCCTTTTTGTTTCAGATTCTGAAAATTGTATATTTTAAGCTTTTTCCATTATAATGTGTAGATCTGTTAAGCTCACTCTTGGAAATATGTTAAAGAAAGAAGTCAAAGAAGAAAGCATGATGTATAAATACGTTTATTATAGCATTATCTATAATAATAAAAAAATTTGAGTCTTAAGATCCATCAGTAGGTGGGAAATGGCTCAGTTATTCAACATCAGCTTGAGGGAATGTTACATACTATGAAAAATAATTGATAAAGACCATGTGAAACCATGGAAAATAATTATTATAAAAGAGAAAATATAAAATGTATACTGTTTATAGCTATATGAATTGTGTGTGTGTGTGTGTGTATGTGTGTGTGTATATATATATATATAGACAAAGAAAAAAGTGAGTAAAACTGGCTATGTAGTATTTTTTTAAAGTGGGACCTCATAGCATGAGCGTGCTTCTAAAACTTATGTGGAGAAAAAAAGGCCTAGAATAGATAACTCCTGAAGAACTAGGTAAGGAGATATTTTTTCCTATCAAGTGTCAAACTTATAAAGTGACGGTAACTAAAATAGTGTGCTTTGGGGAAAGGAAGAAACAGTTAAACCAGTGGGACAGAGCCCAGAACTAGATCTTTATGTACTGAAATCAGATATACAGGGACTTCATTGGTGGTCCAGTGGTTAAGACTCCACGGTTCCAGTTCAGGGGGCCTGAGTTCAATCTCTGGTCAGGGAACTAGATCCCGCATGCTGCAGTGAAGATCCTGCATGCCTCGACTAAGACCCGGTGCACCCAAATAAATAAATTAATAATAATAATAAAAAAAGAAATCAGATATACAAAAGAGTCTGCATTGCAGATCATCAAGGGAAGAATGATGGACCAGGCTGTAATTGGTGCTGGCACAATTAGATTGAAAAATCAGAATTGGAAAATTGTATTGGATTCTTACCTTATATTGTATAGAGTCACAAAGCAATTCCAGTGAATTAAGCATTAAATGTGAAAGATAATACTTAAAAAATTTTAGGATCTGAATAAGTGAAAATCACTTACCTTTAACCTCTGACTTAAGGAAAGTTGTCTTAAGACACAAAAACACTTATCATAAAAGAAAAGATGAATAAATCATTTGACTATGTTAAAGTAAACAAATTTCTCATCATTAAAAGACACCATAAAGAGAGTGAAAATAAAAGCTTACAACCTAGAAGATTTTGCCTCACGGTTATAGCCAACAAGAAATTAGTATCCAGAATAGATGAAGAACTATCAATAAGCAAACCAGTATAAAATGGACAAAAAAGTCAATTTACAGGAATTTACAGAAGGGGAAATGAGACTGGTTTATAAAAATATGAAATGTTGCTTAACTCAGTTGTAACTGGGAAGTTATGAAGTCACAATGGAATATAGCATTTCACGGACAGCAGACTTTAATTTTTAGGGAAGATGGTGGTAGAAGCACAGAGCTGTCGTATACCTGCCAGCAGGGGTGCACATGCAGGGGTGCACATTTCATTAGGCCTTTTGGAAAATGATTGGGCTTCACCTCCTACTTTGTTACCCTGGAGAAACTTGTACCATGTACACTAGGAGGCAGGTATAAGAATGTTCATAGCATTGTTCTTAATGGCAAAATGAAAACCATGTCCATTGATAGAAGATGGGTACATAAATTGTATATTCATCCAATAGACACTATACAGCAGTGAGGATGAATAAATTATTGCCATGTTGTATATCATCTGGAGGAATCTCAGAAATAGTGTTGAGGAAAAAAAGTCACCGAAAAATACAGTATGATTGCAATTACATGAAGTTCACAAACAGATAAAAATTAAGCAATATATTGCTTAGGGATGAATATATATAAAGTAAAACTGTAAGGAAAAGAAAGAAAATGCTTAACACATAACTCAGGATAGTGATTACTTATGGGATTTGGGGGGGAAGAAACAGCTTCAGAAATATTAGATTTATTTTGTTTCTGAAACTGGTTGAAAGGTACATGGACATTTGATTTATTATTTTACTTAAATTGTATGTATACCTGCTAAATACTTTTTTACATGTATGTTTCAAAATAAAAACTTTTAAAATAAGCAAAAATATCTGACTTGGGACTTCCATTGTGGCACAAGTGGTTAAGAATCTGCCTGCCAGTGCAGGGAACACTGGTTCGATCCCTGGTCTGGGAAGACCCCACATGCCACAGAGCAGCTAAGCCCATTGATCCCTGGTCTGGGAAGATCCCACATGCCACAGAGCAGCTAAGCCCATGCACCACAACTACTGAGCCTGTGCTCTAAGAGCCTGTGAGCCACAACTATTGAGCCCTCATGCCACAACTACTGAGCCTGCGCTCTAAGAGCTATGTGCCGCAACTAGTGAAGCCCGTGCACTCTAGGACCCATGTGCCACAACTACTGAGCCTGCGTGCTGCAATAGCTGAAATCCACGCACCTAGATCCCATGCTCCGCAAAAAGAGAAGCCACCGCAATGAGAAGCCTGCGCACCACAACAAAGAGTAGCTCCCGCTCGCTGCAACTAGAGAAAGCCCACGTGCTGCAACGAAGACCCAACGCAGCCAAAAAAATAAATAAAATTAAAAATATCTGACATTTAATTTTTCCCTGTTTCCAACCTTATTTTTCTTCATCCCAGCCAATAAATACACAGAGTAATTCCTTGTTTTTGTTTTGACCCAGTTTGGGAATTGGGGAATTTGCATAGTTTTGATTTAGATAGTTAAAAAGATCAGCATCCTTTATAAAATAAAAGAAGTGACTTCAGGGTTAAAAAACCTGGCTCAGGGGGCTTCCCTGGTGGCGCAGTGCTTGAGAGTCCGCCTGCCGATGCAGGAGACGCGGGTTC